GGCATCCTGGAACTCACTCTGTAGACCAGGCTGGTCTCGAACTCACAGAGATCCGCCTGCCTCTGCCTCCCGAGTGCTGGGATTAAAGGTGTGCGCCACCATCGCCCAGCCACAGAGTAATCTTCTAACTTTCAGCTACTTACAAGTACAAATAAGCTTCATGAAAGATACATTTTCTAAGCTTTTCTCTGCTTTTGTTTATGAGAATGGAAACTGGAGCAAAAGTTTTCTCCATGACCTTCCTTTCTGATTAAAACACTGAAGGCCAAGTGTTAACAGATTAAAAACAGGGGTAACAGAGAAAGAAGAAATCTTTGCTCTATTCTGGCATCTTTTCTGCATGTTTGACCTATCTTGAAATAAAGGCACCAGGAAGTTCTCTTTCTTGGTTTTTGAAACAAGGTTTCTTTGTGTAGCAACTCTGAGAGTCCTGGAACCCACTCTGTTGACTAGGATGGCTTCTAACTTAGAGAGATGGGCCTGCCTCTGCCTCCTGAGTGCTTAGGTGTGAGCCACCATCGCCATGCTGGGCTTTCTTTCTTACTTAACTTACTCACACATATATTCTGTGGCATGAGCACACATGGATCATGCTTGGTTGTATGGCTATAGTGCTCCTGGCTGTGGCTCTAAAATGCAAACCACTTGTACAGCTAGATCAAATGAGTCAAGGGGACACCAACCTCCCGGCCCTCCAGCGGCTTAGGTCCAACACAGCTGTGTACAGCACATCCACCAGACCCAGGGTCTTCTCAGGATCCAGACTTCTCTGCAGCAGGGACATTGTTGCAGGGTCTTCCTTCAGGCACCTAGGCACAAAGCAAGTCACATTAGTCTTGGCCATACTTCTCTGTACAGGTGTTCAGAGAAAGCATTATGGAAAAGACTACAACTTACATACTTTTAGCATAAAAAACCAAAAAACCAAAACAAAAAAATAAAAACAGAGTGCCAGGTATGGTAGTACATGCCTTTTAGTCCCAGCAGGCAGATGTCTGTATACATAGAGACTTCAACAGAGGGAAACTTGTTCCCCCAACCCCCAAGAAAACACCCAACCTAGGGAGAATGGAAACAGTAAGACTGACACTAGAATTCCTTTGTAAAAGGAGAGAAAACACTGGCACCATGGGTCTCTCCATGGGAGCATGCTCCAGCAGAGAGCATGCTCAGACAAGACATGACACACATAGGGCACATGGCTGTGGAAGAGCATATTTAAAGAAAGCTAGACTTTCCACTGTAAGAGGGAAACACTGTCAAATGTTTTCTAAGGCATCTAGTACACATCTAACTAAAGAAAATCTGAGCTGAATCTTCTTTACTTTACTCTCAGAATGTGAACATTAGCCTAAAAACTAGGTATCATTTAACAAATTTCTTATAAAACCTATTTCCCATTTCATGTATTTTCTTGAATAAGAGTGAAAGTAGATGCATGCAGCTGAGACCATCCGCACACATTTGGGCTCTGAACTCTGATAATTTCCAGAATGGCAAGGATGCTAGAAGTGTCATTTGTTCTAGTTTGGTTCCTGACACAGTGCTTTATTTTTTAGTTTTGGTTATCAAGACTGGGACTGTGTATCCCTGGCATCCTGGAACTCACTCTGTAGACCAGGCTGGCCTCAAACTCAGGGATCCACCTGCCGCTGTCTCCCGAGTGCTGCCCAGTGACATAGAGCTTTTAAATCACTTGGAACTTCCTAGGTGATGTGGGTGTTTTGGTAGTGTTGGAGATGGAGCAAAGAGGAGCACAGATGCTGCACACATATCTGTAACTCAGATGGAATATCAGCTCCAAATTGCATTTCATTCTACTGAGTTTTTCCGCTGATGGACTCCTGGGTCCATCAGGATGGGGGCTGATCACTAGAAAGACCAGAGCACCATGGGAAGCTTGGGAAGACCTTCAGCGCCACTTTCCCAGCCTATGACGGCAGAGGGAGGTGCTCCAGAGAAAGTTATAATCAACTACACTTACATGATAAAATCACTAAAACTGTAGAACTTCCACTCAAGGTGCTAGGAAGGGATCTGCTTGGAGAGGTTGGGGGCTTCACACCCTTCCATTTAGCTTTCCATGTACCCTTCCTTTGGCTGTTCATCTATCTCTACTGAGGGATCCTTTATAATTAGCCCATACTTACATGTTTCTGAGTTCTAGGAGCCATTACAACAAATTATCAAACGTGAAGAAGAGATTCTGGGAACTCCCAATTAAAGCCGATTGATTAGAAAGGACAGGTAACTCCTGGGCTTGGATATGAAGCGGGAAGTAGATTTGTAGGACTGTGAGTCATTGGCCTACTGAGCTTTGTGTTAACGTTGGGTGGTTTGCACCAAATTCAAGTGTCTACAGAAAATCAGAGAACCAGTGTTTGCTACGTGTTCTGTGAATGAGAGACTTGATAGGCCTCCATGGATTTCCCTGTCTAGCAAGAAGAGGCTGATGTGATTGTTAGGTTTGTGTGTGTGTTTAATTATTTTATGTGTATGTGTTGGCTACATTTCTATGTACCGTGTGCATGCCTGATGTCCACAGGGGTCAGAGAAGATATTAGAACCCCTGGAACTAGAGTTACAGATGATTGTGAACCACCATGTGGGTGCTGGGAACCGAATCCTCAGCAAGAGCAGCCAGTACCTTTAACTGCTGAGCTATCATCACTCCAACCTCCTCCTACCCCAATCTCCATTTTACACTTTCGAAATAGGAGGCTGTCTTTGAATTTATAACCTTTCTACTCTTTTGAGTACTAGGATAAGAAGTGTGGGCTACAACACCTGACTTAAGATAGTTTTTGATCACATTTAGACACAACCCTCAAGTCAAGGGTTTTTATCTATCTTCAAATTACTCTCCCTCTTATTATGGCCCTCAACGGCCTGTCACCTTGTCCTAAGGTCTTCCCTGTTCTGACTAGATTTGTCACACCTGAGGGCCTTTGCCTGGACAGCTCTCAGAACAGTCAACCACCTCTTGGAACTACTGTGTCCACTACAGTCTCTCCACAACAAGCCTCTTCTTTTTAAAAAAAGTTTATTTATTATCTATACAGTGTTCTTCCTGCATGTGTGCCTGCAGGCCAGAAGAGGGCACCAGATCTCATTACAGATGGTTGTGAGCCACCATGTGGTTGCTGTGACTAGAACTCGGGACTTTTGGAAGAGCAGGTGGTGCTCTTAACAGCTGAGCCATCCATCCCTCCAGCCCACAAGCCTCTTCTTGATTGGAGAGCTAACTGTCCAAGAAACAGGCTTTCTGCCAGTTCTTGGGCATTTTGCAGCCATTTGGAAGGGGGCAGCAGTACTCCCAACATGACTTGGCTAGGGAAGAAACTTAAGAATGGGGATGAGAACCAGTCAACAAAGAAGTCTGACGCTGGGTTCCTAGGAGAGCTTGTTTAACAGATCAAGATTTGAACACCCAGTTCCCTTAGCTGTAACAACTGCTCCAGGTCCCTCGGCTCAGGGACTACTTCTCAATGAGCCCAGGCTTGCCACTGTGGTTTTACCAACTAAGTGATTATTTGCTGCTGACAAAAAAAAAAAAAAAAAAAAAAAAAAAAAAGCAATGCTATAGTTCCTAGTTATTTATTTTTCTGAGAAATTAACAAATCAAGTTTTAGTTTATGCATTAGCCTTGAAAGCTGACCAATAAAACACCTTTAAGACTGCCCAGGAGCCTAGATAACAAATCTTTTGAGACTCATTTAAACCTACTGATATTTCAAATTGAAACCCAAGTTTCCCCAAGGCCCTGGAGTCCTGGCTGCTGCACTTCCCTACTGCCATCTCTAACCATGTCAGTCTGCTCCCCAGACTTTTATGACGGCTGTTCCTTCTTCTGGCTTCCCCCAAATGCTCTCAGCATGGCCTCTCATCTCCAATTAAACATCACAGCCTCAAAGGAATGTTTTCTGACTTACCTCACTCTCTAAAATAGGCTCCTTCCTTCTCTGTGATATACATCATTCCCCTTGTCCTTCTCAAGTCACCGCTTATATGCGCTTTTTGTTTCCTTCCCCCTTACGAAGATATTAAACTGTATTCAAGGAAGGCCCCTCTCTCTTACTCACAATCAACTTCAAGAAGAATGTCTGGTACATAGCAAGTAGTCAGTTTATATTGAAAGGAAAACAGTTTAAATATACAAAAAGTAGCTGTTTAAAATGGAAGTATGTCTCCCCTTCCTTCACTCTCTAGACAGGGCTTCCTTCTGCATTCCAGGGTACCTGGAACTTGCTGGGGAGACTAGTCAGTCTGTCATTAAATTCATGGAAAGTCTCCTGCCTTGTTCTTGGTGCTCGGATTACAAGAATGAACCGCCTGGCTACAAGTGGCTATTTTGTTGGAAGAAAAAAATGACCTAGCAAGTACATTATATGTTTACCACTGTCCCCCCTAATAAGATTCCTTTCTTTCTGTTTGATGTGTATGGATTTTTGCCTAAATGAATGTACACGCACCACATGCATGGCACACACACTGGCAGAAGAGGTATAGGATTGCCTGGAACTGGGATTATGGACAGCTGCAAGTAGCTATGACGGTGTGTGCTGGGTGGTTTTCTGCGTCATCTTGACACGAGTCAGAGTCATCAGAGGAAGCAGCCTCAGCTGAGGAAATGCCTCGATGAGATGCTGCTCTTTCTCATTTAGTGACTGATGGGGGAGGGCTCAGTCCATGGTAGGCGGTGCCACCCCTGGGCTGGTGGTTCTGGGGTCTACAAGAAGGTGGGCTGAGCTAGCTATGGGAAGCAAGCCAGTAAACAGCCCCCCCCCCCATAGCCTCTGCATCAACTCCTGCCTCCGGGATCTTGCCCTGTTTGAGTTCTTATCTTGACTTCCTTCAGTGATGAACAGCAATGGTCCTCCTGCCTCTGATTCCTAAGTACTGGGATTAACTTTTAAAACTCAACTTTCATACAAGATAATGTGTTTCTTTTATTATTTATTATTATTATTATTTGAGGTAAGATCTCATTATATAGTCCTGGCTGGCCTGAACTTGCTATGTATACCAGGCTGACGTCAAACTCACAGGGTCTTCCTGTCCCTGCCTCCTGAGCGCTGGAATTAAAGGCGTGAGCCACTATGCCTGGCTTTATTATCTTTAATTACTAATATGTGTGTGAGTCTGTACTGGTGACTGTCAGTGTCTAAGTCAGAGGCATTAAATCCTCTGAACTAGAATTATAAATGGTTGTGAGCTACTCAAAATGGGTGCTGGGAATTGAACTCAAGTCCTCTGCAGAAAGTACACCTAATAGCTGAGCCATTTTGCCAGCCATGTTTTTTGTTTTTGTTTTTTTTTTTTTAAAGAAAGTTTTCTATTTCTTACAAGTATGTGTGTGTTCGTTCATGTGTGTCATGGCACTCATATTGCATGGGTTCACCCTTGCTCAGTAAGTGCTCTACCCACTGATCTAAGGTGGTCCCTGTTTCATGACAACACTTCATACACTCTGACACTGCGCACTGCTCACTGTATCTGCCTCCTCAACTCCCACGCTCATCGTCCTAACAATCATTCTCCTCCTGTTACATCATGTGTAACATCATGTGTAACAGCACAGAGAACATAATAAAATATTTGTGTGTGAAAGAGAAAGACAGACACAGCGAAGGGTGTGCTGTTTATGTAGCTCATAATGGCTTAAATGTGGCGACCCTTCTGCCAGCCTCCTCAGTGAGAGGAAGATAGGCATGTACCATTATGGCTGGCTTAATAAGTTCTTGACTAGTTGTCTGACAATTATTTTCCCAAGAATGAAGTAAAGTGGTCTCGCTTCAGCCTTTCCAATGAATGTAGACTTGTATAGCTCCAATATCTGTAACCTGGAAATGTAAAATGCTCAATATCCAAAACTTTTTGATGCTAGCAATGACAATACCAGTGGAAAATTCCACAGCTGATCTCAAGTGCAAAGTCATAGTGAAAATTCAAGAGAACTGCAAATACTGTATAAATGAGTGCTGGCCAAAGGGCATTGCTGTCTGAGACACAAAAGAGCTCTGTGCTTAGATTTCACTTTCATTTTCACAGCACCTCAGCATGTCCATGTGCAAACACCTTAAAACAAAACAACAGGTGGAATCTGAAATGCTTTTAGTCTCCAGCATTTCATAGGAGATACTTGATCTTAGCTTCTAAGAGAAAAAAACAAAACCCCAAGCCAAAAAAAAAACTAAAAAATAAAAAAAAAACTTATAATTTTTCATCATTACCAACAATAGACAGCAGAGGGCGCCTTTGTAGGGATTACAGCCTACAAGGTCATTTCAGGAGGAACAGGGAATTACAAAGGAGATGACCCACACCAGAGGGCAGAGTTTTGATAGAAAACTAACTAGTTTAGTAATAGCTGTTTACATTCACCTAATTATATAAACGCTATGTCTTTTTTTCTCAAAATAAGAGTCCTTACAGGCAATCCTAGCTCAGGAGGTAGAGACAAGAGGATCAGGGTTCAAAGTCATTTTCAGATACAGGACATCCTGTGTTACATAAGACCCTGTCTCAAAAAACTTTTAAAATGAGATTAAATTGGAAATTTTAATTAGGAATTCAGGAATTGCAAAATCTTACAGAAAAGTGAGCTTTTTTTTTATTTTGTTTTGTTTTGTTTTTCCCGGATTTTCGAAACAGGGTTTCTCTGTGTAACAGCCCTAGCTGTCTTACTAACTCTTCTAGATTGGGCTGGCCTCGAACTCACAAAGATTCACCTACTTCTGCCTCCCAACTGCTGGTGTACGCCACTACCGCCCGGCAAAAAGTGAGCATTTTAAGTTATTGTTTCATAAAATGACATATAAATACAGGGCTGGATGATGGCACAGTGGTAAAGCACTTGCTGATCTTGTAGAGGACCCAGGTTCAGTTCACGGCACCCACATAGTGGCTCTAATTCAAGACCTAGGGGATGCAACACCCTCTTCTGACCTCTGAAGGCACAAGGTATGCATGTGGTACATATACATACATGTAGGTACTTACACATACATGAAAAATAAAAGTAAATAGTTAAAAAAAAAGACCTCTATTATCAATACACCTACCTACCTACCTACCCTTGATTTCCACTGATTTCAGGACACTATACCAGCTTTAAATTTCTGAGCTAGAATTATAGAAAGTTGAGCTGTCTGAGTGCTAGAAGGTGAACCCAGATCCTCTGGAAAATCGGAAAGTGCTCTTAACCACCGAGCCACCTCTGCAGCGCCCCAAGTTAATTTTCTTTGCATGTGTGTGGAGGTCAGTGGACAACCTGCAGGAGCAGTCCATTCTCTTCTTCCACCTGTGCAGGCTCTGGGGCTTGGAGCAGGTCATTGGGTTTGGTGGCATGGAGCCGTCTCTCTAACCCTCTAATCTTTCTTTCCTCTATTTAGTTATTATTCATTTGTTTATTTATATGAGATAGTGTCTCACATATTCTAGGCTGGTCTGAACTTGTTTTGTGGTGAAGGAGAACCCTGTAGCTGAGGACAGCCTTGAACTTCTGAGCCTCCTGGTTCCACCTTCCGAGTGCTGGGATTACAGGTGAGCATTACCAAGCTCAGTTTTATGGGCTGCTGGGAACCAAACTCAGGGTCATGCATTCTGGGCCAGTACTCTGTGAACGAGCTATTTCCCAGCACACCAAGGGCCGTTCTTGTACACATTTCAAGGACACATTCCTAGAGATGCAACTGTGAAACAGCCCTTCAGCTTCAGATACTCCATCAACTTTTCTCCAAGAAAGCCGGTATGGTTTCCTCTCAATCTGACAACCTGTTGGCCTGTTGCTGTAGTCTAGCTCAAACCACTACTTCCTCAATATTTCTTACTGTTATTCTCAGTCAACCTACTACTCTGGGGCAGAAGCATCTTATTATCGTTCTCACTTCTGTGATGACCGGGTGAGGCTGGACAGTTTCTTTGTCTTCTTGTGCATCATGCCATCTTTCCTGGCTTATGGGGTCATATCACTGGCCTGTTTCCTTACTTGTTTATAGGAGCATATTTTCCTCAGAAAAAGAAAAAAAGACTATGAATGACCCTTTATCTTTTGAAGTGCTACAAATATAACTAGCTGAAAGGGGCCTTGTTTGTCCCCAGATTTACAGTGACACTTGGTATAGACTGCCATCAAGGTCATCAGGGTTGTGACGGGAATAGAGAGGATGAGAAAGGGATTCTACAGTCTCTATTCAGCTTTGGACAAATAATGGGTAACTTAGGAACAAAAGACACTAAACCCCGTGGCTTAACTAACAAGGGAACACTGCTCGTTATGGACTGTTACCTATATTCCAGTTGCCGTGTGGTCAAAGGGGCTCCTTCTCAAAGATCTTAGATTAACCAACACAGACCAGTAACAGTGATGAACAGACACCAACACACCACTGCTGCCTTAGAGGTGCACAGCAGCAAGTACCCCTGCTGCAGGTTACACAGCAGTTTAGTCTTCTGTTAAAGAGAGTCAAACTGGGTCAGGTGGTGGTGGTGGTAGTAGTGGCGCACGCCTTTAATCCCAGTGCTCAGCCAGGTCTACAAAGGGAGTTCCAGGACAGCCAGATGCGCGGGGAAACCTTGCCTTGAGAAACCAACATAAACAAACAAACCAATAAAATAAAAATAATCAAATTACCATGTGGATGGGACTTGAACCACAATTCTGGAGCCTTCTAGACTGATCTGGGGTGCATAGGCTTCTTTATTTTCAATCTGTGCTGTGTCGACAACCACCTAAGAAATTTTAAAACAAAGGTAACCACCAGGTTCAGAGTTCCGTGATTGGCAGAAGTATCCATAGCACATCTGTACTGAGACAGTGAGGCCCCTGAGACAACAGCCAGTAATGATGACTGAAACACAGAAACCGAATTCTAACTGTGGGATCCACTCAACTTTGCAGGCATGTACCACACTGTAGCTGTTAGAATTACAAATTCCTCAAAATGAGTGTAGCTGTATATGCCTATCACCCCAACACTTGTGAGGCTATGACAGGTGCGTTATGAGATGGAGGTGAGCTGTGCAGTATGAGACCTTGTGTCATAATGAAGAAATAAAGAGGCTGGAGAGCAGGCTCAGACATTCAAAGTACTCCCTGCTCTTCCAGAAGTTCTGAGTCCCAGCACCCACATCAGGCTGGTCAGTCACTGTCACCTGCATCTCCAGCTCCAGCATATTCAATGGCCTCTTTTGGCTTCCACATTCATGCCCCCCCCACCACTTAATTTAAAAATAAAATCCTAAAATAAATGTTTAAATGGAAGAGATATATGAAGGAAAGGATTGGAGAAAGGAAAGAAAGTGAAATAGAAGGGAAAAAAGGGAGGAAGAGACTATCCATACTTTAGTAATTTTAAGTTTTTATATGACTGAAAGGAAAAAAATAATTAGAAGTGGAGCCAAGCTGGGCCTGCTGATGTAGGTCTATAACCTAAGACACTTGCAGGGCTAAGGCAGAAAGGCTGCAAATTCAAGGGCTGAGGATCCAGCTCACGAGTAGAAAGCCGCATCTCTATTTTAGCGGGGGGAGTTCAAGCTACTCATAGGTACTTCTCATGATTCCAAACAGCTTCTAGTGGTGTTGATTTCTACTGCTATAAATGGGGCTCCCACAGCTGGACCTTCAGGAAACATTTCCTGTCCAACAACAGCCTTTGTTGGACCTGACAGGTGCTTCCTCTCTCCTAAAGGTTCTTTGTCAGCTACACAAAGGAGCCCTGCCATCAGTGGGTAGGAAGTAAAACCCACCGGGTTCTGAGTATGATTAGACATTTCCCCCTTAGCTCAGATTGTTTTCTGAAAACAGCCTTTTCCTAATGTACACTGTGTTCCAGGGAGCATATTGCAAGAGCTTCAGCTAACGGTCTGAGAATATGGCTCAGTCTCTCTTTTCTAAGTTAGTAGGGTAACTACTATTTCTTGCTTTTCTTCATATACAGATCTTCAAGGAAACAGAGCCCAGCTCTGTGAATAGGTCCCCACACCTGCCCATCACAAGGCAGCACCGCCCTAAACTAGGTGGCCTGAGACCTAATCTGTATGAAACAGGACAGGCACCATTCCAAGCTCTCCTTTCATGAATAAAGCAGAAATTAATACTACAAAGAGTATTTACATTTTTGTTTGAGATAGGGTGTCGCTCTGTAGCCCTGGCTAGCCTAGAGCTGTCTCTGTACACCAGGCTGACCTCAAACTTAGATGCACCTGCCTCTACCTCCAGAGTGCCATCACACCCAGCAAGTTCTTTAATTTTTGAACACTCAGATTAGCTTCTTCTAAACCCTGATGCAAATGCTCAATCCTTTAAAAGGAGCCATGACTACAAGGTAGAACCAAGTACATGCAAGTCACATAGGTGGATGTGCTAGACAAAAAAAAAACCTAACAGTGGCAAGTGGTGGCAGTGTACATCTTTAATCCCAGCTCTTGGAGGCAGAGCACTTGGAGGCAGAGACAGATGGATCTCGTGAGTTTGAGATCAGCCTGGTCTATGAGAGCTAGTTCCAGGACAGTGAGGGCTGTTACACAGAGAAATCCTGTCTCAAAAAAAGAAAGAAAAAGAAAAAATAATCTTACGGTGATTACAGATGCTAAGCTCTGGACCCTATCCAGAGTTTTGTTGTTGTTGTTGTTGTTGTTGTTGTTTTGTTTTATCTCTGACAGGTAAAAATATTAAAGCCCTGTCCTGTCTTGAAGTTGATACTGTGATTTTCTTGTTCAAAAGGTAATGAATGGCCAGACAGCTGGGGTAGGAAATGTTTGGATTGGGTCCTAATGATACAAGCACCAGTCACAAATGGACTCTTGGAGGTGAAACTGAGGTTGACAGGGACAGCCAAGAGGAATTGTCACAGCAAGGCAGACAGAACAGGTTAAGTGCAGAGGCTGAAGTAAGAGGCCACTGGCCTGGCTCACTGGAGAACAGGAAACTCCAGTGTGGTGCACGAGAGGTACTAATGTACTTGTTTCCTTAAGACAAGGGAAGTCTACAACAGCATCACCCCCCAACTACATTCCTAGTAAATACAGCTGGTGGCACACGCCTTTAATCCCAGCTGGGAAGGAAGCAGAGGTGAGTTTGGAGCCAGCCTTGTCTTCACAGCCAGCTCTAGAATAGTCAAGGCTACACAGAAAAACCCTGTCTCAAAAAAAAAAAAAATACAAAACCCAAATAAACAAACAAACAAACAAAACTTTCAGTTTTGTGGGGAGAGCAGGGTCTTCCTAGGTCTCTCAAACACTTCTTTTTGCCTCAGTCTCCCGAGTGCAGTGTTTTTGTACATATGCCACCCCAAAGAAGCTGCTCTCACCCCTCACACAGACTCACCAGTCCCGCCTGGCCAAACAGCAGCTGCACAGCAGTCTTACAGGCGCCCCGCCATGTGGACGGGCACACCTGATTCAGTACTTCTGTCACAGGAAGATCATCTCTAGGTGTGATTCCATTGTAGCAGCCCGCTTCCTTGATGAGCTGTAACATGGTATGCTACAGATCGACAGAGAGGGAAAAGTTCACATCTCAAGATTCTAACACTGGCAAGGCTCCAAAATCTGTAAAAGTGCATTTATACAACCATCCTCCGAAGAGACATTCTGACAGCACCCAGGTCATGCCATTTGAAAAACAAACAAACAAACGTATAGGGAGGCAGGGTCTGTATGTCTCTAGCTGACCCTACAACTCTATGTAGACCAGGATGGCCTGAAGCTTAGAGATCTACCTTTCTCTGCCTCCCTGAGTGCTGGAATTAAAGATATATGCCACCAAGCCTGGCCCAACCTCAACATTTTTTTAGACAACAACATAGTATAGACGCTCTGGAACAGCCCAAATGAGGCCAAGTTCCAGCTCTCCCAATTCCTAGGCATGACACTTTGGGCCTTGGTTCCTCTGTCAATAGGAACAGGGGAACAGCCACGCCTCAGTGAGACGCTGGATTCGGTAAAACAATGCATGTGAAGCCTTCTGCTCTGATCCTTCACCTATGGTGCTTCACAAGTGACTCTGACTGCACTAAGATTTCTGTGACTTAATTCTCAAAACTGCACCAGCAGACATTAATCAATCAACAGTAGTGCATTCAGAGTACTCTCAAACTCTGTTAAACATTTGAACAAAATTACTAAAAAAACTTTCTTAGCAAATGTCTTATGTTACCTTGGGGCTGGGAGTGACATAGTGCTTGCTATGCATGTGAGAGCCCCTGGGTTCAACCCCTAGCACCATACACAGACAAAAAGAGACATCACAGGCTGCATTTGGCCATCACTGTACTCAGAAAAGTTAGAGTCTACTTCCTGATCTCTTCTGTGTTTTTTAATCTACATTCTTCAGAAGTCCTGAAGTTTCCCATAAATAGTTTTATTTCCAAGTGTACACTCAGTTACTGGAACCCAAGGAATCGATGGAAAGCTACCGTCTTAAGCTTCAGATTGTCAGCAGCCGACTCATTAAAGGAGACCCCCTTCAGGAAGTGCGATCCTATCTGCACAGGGACGGTGGGAAGCTCACACTGCATGGGCTGTGGGGGTGTCTGCCTTCGCCCCGTCTGTTGAGCTTCCGCTTCGCTGCAGCAGCCCTGGTAAAGGTTTGGATAGGAGAGTGGAGGTGAACCCACAGCTCATGTGACAAAGCACTGGGTTCCCACAGGACTGAGTAAATAACTCCCAGAAAAGTATACCTGAAAACTTGCTTCGATGGCCTTTGGGTTCAGGTGGAAGCCAGCTTTCATTGCATATTCACAGTGGCCTAAGCTTTCCAATGCTATTTTATATGCCTGCAAGAATCAAGATTATGCAGCAGATCAGAATATGACGAAGTCCAACAAAAATAGGAACTTCAAATTTCCAGTGTGGAAGGGGGTAAGGAAGGCTAGGAGGGTGAATATGACCAGAATACACTATATGTATACATGAAATTCTATACTATATGCACACATAAAGATAAGTTTAAAATTTTCTAGGTATTATTACTTTGTTACCTTTTTAAATGGTCCAACATCATTACTCTAATCTTGCCCCTTGGTGGAATCACTTCTCTATGCATCCGCCAGTACTGAAACACTTACCTGCAAAGCACTGTCAATTTTTATATTCAGCTCTTTCAGCTGGTGCTCAGGAATCGCTGCACTCTGAGAACAAAAGAGTTGCTGGACTTCAATTCCCGCCAGGCGTCCATCACAGCCTCTCTCTCTTAATCTAGATGTTGCCTGTGATATAAATAGCCAGTAGGTAAAGGAGGACACTACAGTTACTAGCAAAATTCAAACAGTACCACCAGCAACAAATCCTACACTTCATATTAAGTATCAAGCTGGATATACACCAGGGATTCTGGACTGTTCACACTACAAAGTCGGCAGTCTGAAATCGCAGGTTTATTTGTTTGATCTTTTTGGAGACAGTTTTGCCACGTAACCCAGAATGGCTTCAAGCTTACAACTGGCATGCCTCAGCCTCCTGAGTGCTGGGAATATAGGCCTATACCACCATGCCTGGCCAAATAACATTTCTGGGAATTTCTCTGTTCTTCTATGTCAGGATAGGAATATTGATATTTACAAAATTCACAGAACAACAGGAAAGCTAGTAGCTTCAATGCTGTGAAGTTCAAGGCTTTCGTTTCACAAGAACACACCAGCCTACAGTCTAACCAAGCCTTGAAACCTAATAGTTTTAAGATTTGACTCTAAGAATCTTCAGTGAAATGTTTGGCGTCCAGGGGTTGTGCTAGCTACTGACAGACACCACCCCTAGCCCTAGAACATAAAGCCTAATCCCTGCCTTCCTAGAGTTGATGGCCTTGCCAGCCAAAAAGGTGAACCTTTAAAACTCTAAGATGGAGCACAGCAGGCACTGAAAGTGGCCCTGAGGGGTCACCTGCCACAACCCTGTAATCCCAGTACTCTAAGGTTTAGGTACAGGATTACGAGTTCCAGACCAAACTGGGCTACAAACAAGAGACTGTCTCATAAAATGGCAATTTAGATTGGGAATTGGAACTGGACATGCTCAGGGTGGGGTGGGGTTATGTCAAGGCACTAATGAATCCTAATATCCACCAAGGATCCAAAACAGTCTAAGGAAAAATACATAAAATACAACAATAAAGCAGGAAAATGGCCAGAGGCAAGACAGTAGTCTCACAAGGCAGGATGCGGTATGTCATAGTGAGGTATCCATATCTGACCTTAACAAAATAAGAAGCAAAGATGTCTGACTTTAAACTCAGAATAGTGAGTCAGAAATGGAAGAAAACATTTCAGAAAAGTATGGTCCACCCTCCCAAAATATTCAGTTTTCAGAATGAATGAAAAAGGTGAGGAAGGACTGGAGAGATGGCTCAGAGGTTAAGAGCACTGGCTGCTCTTCCAGAAGTCCTGGGTTGCAATGTTGGAAACACAGCAGTGTTAAGAAAATGCTGGGTCGCCAGGCGGTGGTGACGCATGCCTTTAATCCCAGCACTCTGGAGGCAGAGGCAGGCGGATCTCTGTGAGTTCGAGACCAGCCTGGTCTACAAGAGCTAGTTCCAGGACAGGCTCCAAAACCACAGAGAAACCCTGTGTCAAAAAACAAAAACAAAAACAAAAAAAAAGAAGAAGAAAATGCTGGGTCCAATGGCAGAAGCCAGTTCCTTGAGGATGGGAATAAAATGCTGCCAAAGTGAGCCCTGAACCTGGATAGGGCACCTCCTCTGGTGTCATAAAAGGGAAGAAAAGGCAGATGGAGGTAAGCTAGAAGTACTGTTCTGGCCATGGAAGAAGAAACACTGTACCAAGGGATTCCATTTTCACAGGGTAAGGGGCACTAGCAGGAAGCAGTAGACGGAGGGCCAGTGATACATGGAAGCAGGCAGGGAGATCAGTGAGGTGGCACTGAAGTTTGGAATGTAAAAGGAATATTCTGGAGACTAGAGTTCAGAAGCTCTGGGGGCAGAAGGCTGTGAAGCCAGATGACGGACAAAGGTCTGAACCTACACCAGCAGTAGAGAGGGACACCAGCAGGTCCCACCCCCAACATAACCTCCAATTAGCACTGAGGGTCTTTCTTTCTTTTTTGTTTTTTTTTTGTTTTTTTTTTGTTTTTCGAGACACGGTTTCTCTGTGGCTTTGGAGCCTGTCCTGGAACTAGCTCTGTAGACCAGGCTGGTCTCGAACTCACAGAGATCCGCCTGCCTCTGCCTCCCGAGTGCTGGGATTAAAGGCGTGCACCACCATCGCCCGGCCAGACGCTACTTTTTCTATTTATTTTTTTTCAAGTTTTAGAGCTTGAAAACTCTAAACTTATGGTATGGTCATTAATGAGTTTCACTACAGCACTTCACACGTCTGCCTCACTCTATCACTGTCCTCTCCCGCTCTCCCACCCCTGCCTACATCCCCCTGGCTGGGCCTTTTTTGCTTTCATGTCACATGGATTGTGTGACCTTTCTTCTTCCTGCCCAAGAGCTCCTCCTTCTTTATTATGGCCCCCTTTTATCACATGAACACACACAGAGACTATATACATGTCTATAGAAACTGAAATCTAGGTTCTATATACCAGATAAAAAATGCTGTGTTTTATCTTTCTGGAACTGTGTTACTTAAGAATCTTTATATGCTGGGCAATGGTGGTACACACTTAATCCCAGCACTTGGAAGGCAGAGACAGGCGGATCTCTTTGAGTTCAAGGCCAGCCTGGTCTACAGAGAGTTTCAGGACAGGCTCAGAAGTTGTCTAGAAAAACCAAAAAAAAAACAAAAAAAAAAAACCATCTCTTTTTTTACATAGCAGGGCAGTGGTAGTGCACACATTTAATCCTAGCAATCCGGAGGCAGAGGCAGGTGGACCTCTAAGTTCTAAGTCAGCCTCATCTACAAAGCAAGTTCCAGGACATCCAGGGTGACACAGAAAAACTCTTGTCTCAAACAAACAAAAAATCCAACAAGAATAAAAACACAGAATACCCCAACAGGGTTGCGGATGCAGTTTCGTTTGTGGAGTGCTTACCTAGCATGCATGAAATCCTGGGTTCCAACCCCAGCACCACATAAACCATTCATTCATAGAGTGTTGCATGAAACCCTAGTGCTTGTGAGATTCATCTTAACAGACACTTCTGTTACCCAGCCTAGCTGGCTGTCTACTGAGCTAGCTCCACTGTATCTTTCTTGACTTAGGTGCCAGCCTTATCCCCTGGCTCAGATCTCTGGAGTTTCCAGTACCACGCCGACTCTAAAGCAGGGCCATTCCTCTTGGTATGGACAACTCCTGGACCCTCTATATTCTGTTTTTCTAAGTCTTTCTCTACAAGCATCATAATAGTGCCTAGGATAAGCCTAACACAAAGTAGACATTCTTTTTTTGTTTTTGTCTTTCCACAGAGCTTCTTTGTGTAACAACCCTGGCTCACTGTAGATCAGGTTGACCAAATTCACAGACATCTGCCTGCCTCCGCTTCCCAAATCCTGGGATTACAGGCTTGCACCACCACTGGCTCAAAGTAGACACTCTTTTTTTATATACAATGTATTTGTCATATTCTTTATTATTATGTATACATTGTTCTGCTTCTATTTCTGCTGCAGGCCAGCAGAGGGCACAAGACCTCATTACAGATGGTTGTGAACCCCCATGTGGTTGCTGGGAATTGACCTCTGGAAGAACACTCAATGTTCTTAACCTCTGAGCCATCTCTCCAGCCCAAAGTAGACACTCTTAAAGGTATTTGCTGTCACAAGAATAAGCAAGCTAGTGATGTTTACAACTCAATGTCTAAAGCAAGTGACTCTTCTGGGAGCCAAAGACAGAATTCCTGCAGTTTCTTCCATTGGAACTCATCCAGATCTCCCAGGTCAGTTACCTCAGCAGCCCCCCGCCAGGATCGCACAGCTTCCTCCAGTTCGGGTGTGTGGCCCACGCCAGACAGACTGCTGCTGTTCTTTTTTTCTGGCACAACTACCTCGGCAAAGCAAGAGTGAGCCACCGGCTGGACTTTCTGCAAGGCGTGAGTCAAAAACTGGAAATGGACTTGCACCACTGTCAAGAAACATCGCCCCAGCACCTGTGAAAACAAGAGAACCAGGGGATTTTAGGTTGTGGGCTGCTCACGGATTAGTTCAATGAATTCCCAACTGTCAACAGATTTGAAATCATAAAAGCATGAAATGCTAAAAAGCCCCTGATCTTTTGGGCCTTGGTACTGGAAGTTTAGAAGTCAAAAACATTTCAAAGCAAGCACTAAGTTCCAGGAACAAATGGGTCTTCCAACTTCCTGCCACCTGTCCTCACTTCCATCTCGACTGTCTTGTCCTTCTGGGCAAGAGTCACTGCTGCTCTCAATTATGGCCACAGAGTGTTCAGAAGGCAAAGGAAAAGTCATGGCATGTGACTAAAAATCCGAAAGGTTGGTCTGACCTAGAAGAAAACATTCCACTGGAAATGGAACCCAAAGACACTGGCTGTTTCAGTGCTGTGCTAATATTGTTTTGAATAAAGTTGACTGTCGTGTTCATAGTCTTACAAAACAAGGCTGACAGACAGACCAGTCTTCCAGGAGTCAGCAAAACATAGGAGACAATTCCATCTGCAGGGCAGAAAACCACTAACCCTACACACATCAGTGATTGGTTGGGTGGTTAATAATTCAAATAGGGTCTCACTACATAGCTCTTGCTGTACTGGAATTCACTCTGTAGACCAGGCTGGCCTTGAACTCTGCCTCTGGTCCCCAAGAGCTGGGTTATTAAAGGCATGTGCCGCCATGTCCAGCTGGAAATTCTTTTCAAGCAATAAATTTTCCAGATGGTAGTGATGCATTCAGATAACTCCAGCACTTGGGAGGTTTAAGTAGGTGCATCATGAGTTCAAGACCAGCCTGGTCTACAAAGAGAGTTAAAAGCCAGCCTTGACTACAGAATAAAACAATAATATTATGTCGTGGAATATAGTGGTCACATTCTGACATTCTCAAGACTGCCAATAAAGGTAAACCTTGAATCAGAGGGCAAAGCCAACATTCAGCTGGCCAGAATTAACCATAGTTTTTGGCAGACCCAGATATAGAGAGACACAGGAATGAATAGGGAGGAGCTTAGAAAGATTTGAGGGCCTTTTTGATCTGGAAGAGTAGAGAGGAAGGGTCAGCTGATCGTTATTCCATCACTCTTTGGATCTAGCAGGTTTTTACTACAATATCTGACTCTTGCATTTTACTTAATAATAGAATAGAATATTCAATCCCTTCATCTAGCATTTCAATAAAAGAAGTCAAAACCCTATGTTAAAAGAGAAGTGTTCCAAATTGTTAGCCCTATGAACATATTAAGCCATGAAAGAATATTTGCCTGGAGACCAGGACATCCGTTGTCTTTCTCACTGCCTGGAAACTTTACTTCCTTTTCTTTATGTTTTTGGTGGTACTTAAGAGAATTGATTTCTGGGCCTGGAGCAGAACAAGCAAGAGCTAATATCCTCATATCTTTTTATCTTTGTACTCTAAAACAAGGTCTCAGTCGGGCAATGGTGGCACACACCTTTAATCCTAGCAATAGGGAGGCAGAGGCAGGTGGATCTCTGTGAGTTTGAGGCCAGCCTGGTATATGAAGCAAGTTCCAGGACAGCCAGGGCTGTTACACAAAGAGACCCTATCTCAAAAAAAAACAAAAAACAAAAACAAAAACAAGGTCTCACTAAATAGCTCAGGCCAGCTTTGAACTTACAACTCTCCTCCCTCAGTCTCCTGAAATCTCAATTTCAGGATACGCAACTCCCACTCTGGATTTTTTTTTTTTTTTTACTTGACTACAACTGTGATAAGTTTGTTATGATTTCCCAGATTGAAGAATTCCTAGTTCAAGGCCAGCCTGGGCAATTTGGTGAGACACCCCCCCCCCATCAAAAATCAAAAGACTTCCAACTATCTGCATAGTTTTCTACAAAGATTTAACATCCAAGAGAGTCTGTTAAGATATGGCATGAGCGGGCTGGTGGTGAGCTCAAGAGGAGTGATGGACAAATAAGTGCCAGGCAGATAGAACTTAAGTGTAAGGTTTTATTGGGGGAAGGGAAAGGAGTGGGAAAGGAAAGGGAGAGAGGGGAAGAGGAGAGAGAGAGGGGGGGGAAGAGGCAGGAAAAGTCCTGCCTGCCTCTTCTGAGAGTAGCCAGAAAGAAGAGAGCTGGGGAGTGGGCGGAGCTTCTCTCTCTCTCTCTCTCTCTCTCTCTCTCTCTCTCTCTCTCTCTCTCTCTCTTTCTCTCTCTCTCTCAAGACAGGGTTTCTCTGTAGCTTTGGAGCCTGTCCTAGAACTGGCTCTTGTAGACCGGCTAGCCTCAAACTCACAGAGATCCACCTGCTTCTGCCTCCCAAGTGCTGGGATTAAAGGCGTGCACCACCACCGCCCAGCTGGAGCTTGTCACTTAAAGGAACCTGCTTGCCATGTGCAGAGGGGTGACACACTGTGCCAGGTTCCTAAGAAGCAGGGCCAAGGTGTGCCTGGATACTAACAGAGGTCCCTCGCTCTAACGCCATCTCATCCAGAGGATCAGCCTAAAAGATTCAGCCACATAGAGAGGCTGTCCTTTACGACAAACCCAATCCAGCCTCACACATCAGAGGTATTTTGCCGAAGAAACTGGGACCCGCCAGCTCCCAATGTAACAACTACTCCCTCTGAATAATTATTCCCTCAGTGGAAATTACCAGAGCAAACAAGCCAAAGAAAAACTTCATCCAAAACTAAAGCAAACCATCAAACAAAAAGCTTACACCAAAGTATCTGTCTTCTGTAGTGAACAGCTAAATTGCAGCTGAACTCCATCCAGACCTCCTGGGCTTCCACAACCCTTTTCCTCAGAGATCCTCCCCATCAAGGCCACGGCTCTGAAGGGCAGCATGAGGGACACAGAGTAGCCGACTTAAGTGTACAGCTAGAGACACCTGATAAGAATCACACACTACTAATCGGCTTTAATCGAGCATTCAGCATGTGCTTGTACACTACAGATTTCATATGGGTTGTACCACATTCCCAGAACACCCCATGAAGTCATCTCCATTTTACAGAGAGGAGACTGAGGCTAGGAAAGTTATGAAACTAGGTATCAATGTTACGACACAAAATGGATGGGGCAGAGCAGTCTCTTCATTTGTGTTGTGTCTAAGCTTTTAGCCAGTATGCCCCACTGCCTTCAGAACTCAATATCCAGACAGGCAAAGGCGGCAGCACTGAGGCCAGGCACACAACAGAAATTCAGTCTTTACTACTGAGAAAGAGCACCCCAGTGCAGATTCAGAGGATTGGGGCTGGCTCCTCCAGGACACTCTATCTTCCTTCTCCCTTGACCTCTTGGCAGGCTATGGGAGGAGGGAAGGGAGGGGAAATGACGGTGTCACCATGCTCTGGGGTCATTCTCAGTTTCTGACCAATAAAAATGACTCCTTCTTTCTAATAATAAATATACAATATGTAAATGCCTAACATGTATAAAGCTGAAAAACCATGAGGGCACACAGGACAGAGAGTGGGAAAGCCCCTGTACCACGAGGGTTACATACTAACGGGGCTAGGAGAGACAACAAAGCCATAAATAGACACACAAGGTCAGGTTCAGCTGGAGAAAGAAACTGCCTGGCAGGTGGTGAGGAAAAGGCTCTCTAAGGTTAGAGCCCAGGAAGAAAGCTACATCTCCCACTCTGAAAGAAAGATTCTGAGAGGTGATGGTGAAGCCTGGTGTCTGAATCACAGAAGTGTGAGGTTGGGGTGGGTCTCCCTGCTGCAGGATGCAGCGGGGGAGGAGATGCCAATCTGTCAGTCAGTCTGCTGTCTCAGCCGCTTATTATGTGCTTGACCTCAAATGAGTCATTCAATCTACAGTTCTCTGTAACAAATGCCTTCCTCCTTCCCACGGTGTGTAAAGCATCAACCCAAATTAGGATTGTGGCAAAATACACGTTGTAAATAATTAAAGGGCAACACAACCCTGAGTTTTGGAACTGGTTTCAGTGACTACTTATTCTAAAATGTCACCTCGAGTAAGACACATAAACATCACCTTCTGAGAGGACAGGTTCCCGTCACTGCCCACCCTTTCTCTTTATCTCATCTCACTTCTTGGCCCAGTCCCCAACCCCCATGAGAGACCTCACCCTTCTTGACGCAGGGATGGGCCAGTTCTTGGGGAGGCCGTACTCACACAGGTTTGGAAGAGTATGTGTCCCAGGATCACGGTTCTTAGTTCATAAAGAGAAAGTTTCTTAGACTCAGGGCACATGAGGTTGCAGAATGGGTGAGTGGAAAGTCAAGGACAGGTAATTACATTTAAAATAGTACTGAAGCTCCATCATAACCCACACCAGGAGCACCACAAATGGTAAGAAAACAAGACAAAACAAAGCACCTGTGGAATGTGAGCAATGTGCCCATTTTACAGATGACAAAAACAGGCTTAAAAAGATAAACTTGCAGGGCTGGAGAAATGCGCTGGCTGCTCTTCCAGAGGAGGAGGGTTCAATTCCCAGCAGTCACTTGGCAGCTCACAACTGACTGCGACTCCACAAAGTCACTCAAAACAGGGCACTAGAGCACATGAGCCTTCCATTCCCTTGTTCTATAGTCACAGTATCTACTAAGCATGCTCTAGTCAGGGTATAACTAAAGGGCCCCTTCTTCTTGGTGTATATGTTTGTTGCTGTTAAAATTTTATTTTTATGCATGTTTGCTTACATTTGTAGCTGAGAAACGTGTAAGGCTATGTCTGAAAAGGCCAACAGTGGGAACTGGACCCTCTGGAAGTGAAATTATAAACAGCTTGAACTACCACATAGGTACTGGGAACTGAACTCAGGTCTCCTCCAAGAGCAGCCATCTCTCCACTCCATCTGATTGTTTCTTGCGGCAGCAAGCCATCTAGTCCAGACTGGCCTCCTCAGTGCAGCCAAGATCTTGCACTGAGATTACAGGACCAGGCCACCACGTCCCGTTTCTTCTTAGTAAGTTTACATCTTAAACAGATTACAGAGTTCTAGTTTAAGGCCATCCTGTTTGAGAACTGAAAGACATCCCTTCT